TCGACTGTAAACTTTCCTAGGTCCTTTGACTCTTCTATGGCACATATAACATTCTCAAAGTTGTCTGTTAATGACCTCAAGATCTTCTCCACAACCTGTGTCTCGGGTAACATTTCTCCATGATTTAGGTTATTTGCCACGGTCTGTATGCGTGTGATGTAGTCAGATACATTTTTTGACTCCTTCATCTTCATGCTCTCCAACTCGCCACGCAGAGTCTGGAGATGCACTTGCTTGACTCGGTCGGTTCCTTTGAACACCTTTTCTAAAGTGTCCCACGCTTCTTTTGAAGTAATTGCCATTGCAATCTTCTCAAAGCTCGACTCATCAACGGCCTGGAACAACATGTATAATGCTGCCTTATCTTTTGATCGTAATTCTTTTAGCGCCTTGTTTTGCGGTGCCGTATAACCTGTGCTATCCTTCGGTTCTTCGAAACCTTCTTCGACCACCTCCCATGCGTCTTGAGAATCGAGAAGAGCTTTCATTTGGATGCTTCAATTCTCGTAGTTCGTCTTCATTAATCGCGGTAGCGGCATTTGACCCATCCTATTCGTCATTGGCTCTGATACCAATTTGTAGAAATAAAGGCTCTTGATACCAATTTGTTGAAATAACACTCACAAAACTGTGAAGAAGATGTCGAGAGGGGAGAGACAAGGAGACAAAGAATTCTGAAAACCCTTATCTATTGATCTGTACTTTCGTTCTCTACACTTTTGCTCTTTGCTCATTTGCTTTCTTGCTCCGGTCTTTACAATAGGAAAACAAACTCATTTATAGGTTTTCTAAAGGCTAAAAATGGCTATCCCATATGCCATCACTTTCTAACTCACTATTCCTGAAATAATAGTTATTGTGTGATGTCCCACATTCGTTGGGAGGAGAACAAACCACCATTTATAGGGTGTGAAAACCTTCGCCTAACAGACACGTTTTAAAGCCTTGAGGGGAAGCCTGAAAGGGAAAGTCCAAAGAGAACAATATCTGTTAGCGGTGGATCTGAGCTGTTACAAATGGTATCAGAGTTAGACACCGGACGATGTGCCAGCCTTCTCGCTGTTCCTCGAAGGGGGTAGACACGAGGTGGTGTGCCAGTAAGGACGTTGGGCTCTAAAGGGGGGTGGATTTGGGGGCGGTCCCACATCTCGATTGGAGGAAGGAAAGAGTGCCAGCGAAGACGCTGGGCCTCGAAGGGAGGTGGATTGTAATGTCCCACATTGGAGGAAGCTCGAAAGGAAAAGCCAAAGAGGACAAAGGAAAAGCCAAAGAGGACAATATCTGCTAATTGCATCATGCATCCTTTAGCTTATGAACCCATCATAGTAACAAGCATTAAGTAGCTAAACCAATAATTAGGGGTAAAATGACCCAATGTCCCTGTAATTCTATATGATATTTCAAAGTTTAGACATTCTCCAAATGACTTACTATTTCAAGTTGATCAGACAAAGTTTGGAACCTAAGTTACTCTTCTAAACTCAAAACTCTTCTAAAACCCTCTAAAGAACCATAAAAAAGAATAGGTCTGATAGAACCATAAAAAAAAAAAAAAAGGTCTCATACAAAATGTCATTGACATAAGAGTTCATCTAATAGATTATTTTAAGAGTCCATTCGGGACCTTCACCTCTGTTCTTGAGCTTCTGATATTTGAATTACTTCACCTATGTTCTTGAGCTTCTGATATCTGAATTACTTCAAATTTTCTTTCACAAATTTCTAATTGTGTCTAATTTCTGGAACATCCATTCATGACATTTCTCCCCTCCCGAATTCTTTATGAAACTTCTTCCTTATTCTTCCCTCACACTATAGTTTCAATTAGATATTAAAAATATGAAAGTAAATGGAGAATAAAAATCAGACTAGATTTCAATTGGGCACGTTTTTTGAGTTATTTCTCTGGTTATGTTCAAGCTTTCCTTTAATCTTCTAGTCGAGGAATAGGTTCTAAGTACTTTAATTTGAGCTCCACTCAACATAAACATTTATTCCAAATTTTATTTTTCCAATAATTTCTTATGGTTTTTGGTGCTTAGATATTTAGATCAAATATTTTGTTCTGGTTAGAAATAGATCATTTGGAATGAAATCCTAAAAATATGAAGTTAGGCCCAATCAAAACCACTCGATTACCTCGTACCCATAGGTCATAGGCATGCTATGAAGAGTTCGATTTTAGTGACATATATTTTCAAGGCAATTTACATGAACACAAACTAATTGATGATTTATTAATCAAGAAAATAAAAAAAAAATTAATTTAAAAGAAAGAAAATATATAAAATGAATGAGGCCCACACACAACTCCAAACCACATTGGAGAGAGAAAAAGAAAAAGAAGAAGAAAAGAAAAGGGCTTACAATTACATGATCAACAATACAATTACATTTAACAATGATCAATTACCAACTCCCGCCTTGGGTTTGGTCATCCCTGAAACGTACGGTACTCCGGTGGCTTTAATCCATCTATCCCCCAATATGAACCTCCCCGGAGTAAAGTCCACCGCGTGCTGCGGCGTAATGCTCTTGATTCCCCTCCACTTCACCCTCTTCGCCTTCCCCGACCCCGGCCCGAAGTTGTTGAACTCCGTGTAAAAGCACGTCCTCAGCCCCCAGTCCCCTGCCCACGGCAGCCACCCTTCCGGATCTATTATGTCATCTATGTATGATTCCATTATGATCGTTCTAGAATATTCCTTCCACGGCCGCCCTAGGTACGACCGGAACTGCTTCTTCACCGGCACCAGATCCGCATCCGGCTTGAACTTCGAATTCTGGATGATCAGGGCCGAGGGCTGCCTCCGCTCCTTCCGCCCGTGCGCCGTCACGATGTTTTGTTGGTTCGGCAGCGGCTTGCGCACCAAGAAGCTGCAGTTTTGGAACACGGCCGCTGCGTCCCCGAACACGAAGTCGATTGTGCCGGAGATGGTGCAGTCCCGGTAGAATTGACGCATGGTGTGTACGTAGAGGGTGTCTTGGTATCCATGCATCTCGCAATTGAAGAATACTACTTTGTCTGCTTGGACTCGTAATGCTACGGCTTGGTGCTTATGTGGTCCTGCCGTGTTCTCGAATCCGATGTCTCTAGCCATGAAGTGCTCTGCGGAAACAGCTGCAAACAACAACGACGACAACAACAACAAATCATTGATCCACGTCGTCCATCCTTATGTTCTAAAAAAATGCATTATTAACCCACCAACGGTAGCGGTCTTGAACGTGTTCGTGCCATCGACGAAGTTCTTATTTCCGGTGATTATGGTCTTTTTAGGGCCATCACCAATGAGCATCAAATGGGTTAGCTTTTTTTGAATGTCAACATATTCTTTGTACACTCCTTGCTTGATATGGATTACAAAAGTTGCGTTGTTCTTCCTCTTGGGAACTTTGTTTATAGCCTCTTGAATGGTTTTGTACTGCCCACTTCCGTCTTTAGCCACCACAATGTTTGGCTTCCTCTTCGCCGGAGAACCGGCCAGGAGACGCTGCATACCGGGGTCGACCCACTCGGGGAAATCCTCGTGCCCGAGAACTGGAATGCTGAGAAGTCGTCGGTTGATCCCTGGAATTTGCAACTCCGTCAACATGGAGGACAACTCCGTGACCATCGCCAACCCATTGCTGCTCAATCGCATCGATGTCTTCAATGCCTTCTTCATCTTTTCCGATGCGTCCCCTGTCGTGTTCGCGAACCCATCCAAGCAAGTTTCCTAATAAAAGAAACAATAACCCATCAACTTCTTAATCAACCGAGAGCTTATGCTGAAAGTGGAGAATACGAATTACCTGGTAAGTAATAACGGCACTGAGCCAGATCTTAATATCGATCAACATCTCATCGAGTTTACTAATGTCAAAGGCGCCAAGCTTTTGAATGGAGAATTTAAGTTCGTCAACAGAATAATCCATGAGCTCCTTACACACAGCAAGGGCTTGGGAAGCTCTAGGATCTTTCTCAATCTGTCTTAAGGTGACAGATTTCTTAGCAGCGGCTTGGATGAGTTTCATGGCAGCCTTGAACCCAACCTGAACCAATTCCTTCGGGTCCGACTTTCCGGACCCCTTAAGGCTATCAACACATTCTCGCTTGTAATCGGTAGGCCGGCAAATGGCTTTGATGGCTTTCATAGAAGAAGATATCTCATGAGTCTTCTTTCCGGTGGCCGGATCGCTCGTTCCATCTTGGTTTAGGTTAACTCCAACGGTCACAGCCACCACCATCGCAACGAGTAGCATGGACGAGACGCCGATGATGGCGTAGCGCTTCCGGTTCTCAGCAGCAGCATCATCATAAGCCATCAAGTGGTTTTTCTTTCTTTATACTTATTTATTTTGGTATTCCTTTTCCTTTCCTTTCCTGTTTTGTTTTTTTGGGAGGTAGTTGGGGACCTTCCTCTTAGAAGCCCCCTTTAGAGTGTGGGTTTGAAGAGGTTGGGAGAGTAGGGAAGGTTTATAAAGGATCAAAAGGGTTTGGTTTTTGAATGTTTGTTCAAACTGTTCATCTAAATTTGTGGTTTCTTTTTGTTTACTAAAATTTGTGAAGTTTGCCCTTTTCTTTAGCCAATATCTCAATTTCTAAATAAAGTGTATCCTTTTATAACTTAAACTTGCACTTATTAATACAAACATGGATATCCCATTCTACTCACGGGACCCTCTCCAAACGAGGAGGAGATTCCCTAGTTAGACGAGGAATGAGAGAGGAAGTGGAGAATATTTTTCTTTTCTCTATTAGATAAATGGGCGGAGACAAAATTATATTCCTATCTTATAAAATTGGTACTTTTGGTGAAAAATTACCTCGGTGAATGATCTTTATGGGGCGAGGATTTGGTTATTGACTCGACCAAAAAGAGGTGAACCAAGTTCGAAGCCCTTTTATTCTCCATACTACAATGTGCCTAAAACAAAATTGTTATACCACTCGAGCCACCCTCTAAATTGTACCACCGCTCATGTAAGCGTTGAAGAAGACAGTCTTAGAATCAAAGTTTAACATAAAATGCTTTCAGACTCATCATTATTTCAATCCCACAGCATTGATGGGAACAAATAGTTCAATATAAAGCAAGCAATGGTATTAAGAAGCTACCCAGTAGGCCAATTCTGGCATTGAATTTGATATGCACACATTGGCATTGAACATGACAAACAAACATGCATGAAACTGCTTCCTTCTCAAATCGCTCTAATCCCATCTAATCTTGCAACCCCAAGCATTTAAAATTTCAAGTATCTCTGAGGAGAGCATAAACCTGAGAGATGCGTGCAGCTTGACTTTCTTGACCCGGAGGCAGCAGGCCCTGAGTGCTAGCTCGAACCCTCGCACTGAAACTTTATTAAGGGTCACCAGCTTGGCATCCTGAAGGCATGAAAGGTTCCCCATCATCATGCATAATCCCACGTCTGATACACCACAACACCCCACATTTAACTGCCACAATCCAAACAACAATCAGCTGTTTCATCTCATTCCAAGAACCAAATACAAATGACATAGCAACAAACGTAATGAATCCATATACCTGACGCAAATTCCGAGCATAGGAGCCAAGTGCCCAAAAGCCAGAGTCATCCACATTCTGGCATTGTTTCATGTCCAAATCTACTAATCTTTTACAACCAAATGCCACTGCTGTCAAACCTACGCTTGTGACATTCTGAAGCCCACGTACTTCTAGGCTGCAGAGTTCTTCGAGCTGGCCGACGCACTCGATTCCTCTATCCGTAACCTTATTACAGTATGACAAGTTTAGTTTCGTCAATCTCTTGCACCCAGTTGATAGAGCTTCTAATCCGGCATCCCCAATTCCCAGACAACTGCAATTCAAGAGTTAAATAGAATGACATTCTCCTCTTTTGAGTAGTTACTCAAAAAGATGAAATAAATTTCTGAACTCTCTCACATTACCGGTACAAATCGAGTTCATAAATCCTTTTGCAGTTGCGAGCAATCTTGATCAACCCTGTGTCTGTTATGTTTGTGCACAATCCTAGTTTCAAGCTTAGCAATTGTGAACATTTTGATAAGCATTCAAGTCCTGCAAGGGAGGACACAATCAAGTTAGCTTAATGATTCACTCAAATGGTTGTATGTTATTACTTGTTATAATGAAAGTACCCTTGTCATTCACACCACAACAATCAGTAAGATCAAGCTCCTCTAGTAATGAGCAATATAACCCAAGCCGATCAAGACTTCTTTCAGTGATCATGTTGCATGATTCTAACTTCAGCGACATGAGTTTCTGGCACAAGCCAGCCATTGAAGATATCGCCGCATCGGTGATGGAGTGGCAACATGTTAAATTAAGAACTTTCAAGCCAATACAGCGAGTGATCAGCTGAATTATGTTTGCATCAGTTACTCCGTTGCATTTGCTCAACCCAAGTTCCACCAAATACTTGCCGTGGACGCTGATCACGTCGAAAAACGCACTCGAGAGTTGAGTACCATCAAGCCTAATTGCTTTTAGACACTTCAGGTTCCTCAGCCAGTAAAGAGAATCTGTGGAGAGCTCCTAGAAGCAAAAGCCAAAGATGGAAGCTTCATAACAGAAAAAGAAGGCAAACTCAAAATCGAAAAAATGCAGCATCATCTTACAGAGAAGCAGTAGCTTGCATCAAGTTGTTCAAGACCATCATGACCTCTTAAAACAGATGTTAAGCCATATGGTCTAATGCCATCACATCTTGAAATATCAAGTTCCTACAATCCATTTGAAAACGTGCAAGCTCGTACAAATTAGATCGTGATACTAACATATAACTAAGCAAGCCGACCGACTTGACAGTTTGGTCGAATTTATGTAATGTATTAAGCAAAAAGAATCATACTGCACTTGATCATAAGAACCTTTAGAGATGGGCACCCGTGTTCAAGATATTGCAAACCAAGATCGTCAACTGAAAGACAGCCCACCATAATTAAGACCTCAAGCTTTGGCAAAGAAGCTACTGCACGTAGTGATTCATTTGTCACCTGTTATTAACCCAACATGAAGTTCAGTTCACACATTTTAACCAGAATTGCCAAAAGAATATGTTTGGAATTGTTTGGGAGCTGTTCTTAAAAACGTTTGAAAACAAAAATTCAAAGAGAATATCAAAATTTGTCAAATAAAATATAAAAAATTTTCAAATTTTACCCTGATTGCTTAGTTAAGAGTTGCTATTTTTAGCATGTGTTCAAATTCTGTAACATTCATTTGCTAATTTTAACAAAAATAACCAAAAAAACACTCAAACCTTATGCACAATAAAACTACATTGAATTGATATTCTCAAAATTTATAAATGTCAACAAAAATCAACTTCAGTATCTTTCTTCTATGATCTCATAAACTTTATACACCATTTTTCACAATTCTTCATACAAAAACCTATCAATTGGCAAATTTTGAATTACTTATTCTAGTTTAAGATACAAATTGTGACATTTGTCTTAAGTCTATCATCCAATCCAGTGAAATTTTACTATAAAAGTCAATAAACCTACCTACCTACCTAATTAAGTTTATTTTCCTGAATTTGTCATTAAACAGAGCTTCCAAATTACAGAAACTATAGGAAAACAAACAAACGTAAGAACAGGGACGAGGGGAGCAAACCTTGAGATAAGACAAATCAAGAACCCGCAAATCGAAGCACTTCTTACACAAAAGCTCAACACCAAGATCAGAAACCTGCAAGCACCACTTCAAACTAAGCCTCTCTAACCTCCCACAGCCAACAACAATCCTCGCCAAACCCACATCCGTAACCCCCAAACACTTATCCAACCTCACCTCCTTCAACTCCGCACAATTCGACACTGCCGCCGCTTCCCTATCCCCAAACCCCCAACTGTACGACATGTCGACCATTTCCAGCCCCGTGCAGGCCCGCATCAGCCTCTCCAACCCCATGTAGCTCAACCCCGACGATCGGCTTAGAATCAAACTTCTCAGCCTTGAAAACCCAAGACCCAGAAAGATCGAGACCGTCCCATCGTTAATCCGAGGGCAAATCGACAGATCCAACTCATCGATAGCTTCAAACTTGGCGATTAAACTGGAGAGAAACTCAATTCGACGGACTCGCAGAGTTGTGCGGGAGATTAAATCGACGCGGTAGAAGTCCTTGCAGACGAGCCGCCAGGATCTGGAATCGGAGTCGTCGGTGAGATATCGGCGGAGACGGATGAGGATTTCATCGGGGAAGTTGAGGAGAAGTGGAAATGGTGAAGGCATTAGCGGATTTTGAAGAAACAAAGTGAAAACAACAGAGATTTGAAGAATTGAGAAAGCGGAGTCTAAGTTGGGACGAAGAGGAAGAGGAGGCGGAGACGGAGGAGAGGATGGTGGGCGGATTTGGAGAGCGTTTGGATCTGACCCGAACCGGAATTGCCGACCCAATCCATCATGGTGTTCTACTGTTGTTCTTCCTCCTCTCTCTCTCGTGTTCTGATTTCTCGGGTTTTGTGGGATTATGGAGTTGTTTTTACAGGGAGGAGAGAATTGGGGAAGAGGAAGGAGGGCGGGATCACGTACAAGCAAGACTACGGGAAGTTTCTAATTGATGAGGTGGCGGAATAGTATTGGTTATAATTTTGGACCGTGGTACGGTAAGCTGTCGTGGGTTATTTTAATTTATTAATTTTACGGAAGTTGGAAATTTGTGTACGTTAGGTGGGACCCAGAAGCGTGTAACGACCGTACGGTAATATAAAGGAGAGAGAAAGGGGCTGCTGAGAGGTCACTGGTGGGCCCATAGCCGACCATTTTTTTTTTTTTTTTTTAATAACTAATTTAATTTGACTATTTTTTTTTCCATAAATGAAAATAATGTCCACCAATGTTGAATATCTCTTCAAAATTAACAAAGAATCATATTGATGAAAATAATGTCGACCAAGTTTTGGTCGGAAGTAGGATTATAACTCTACCATTTTCACCGAGAATCATATTGATTTGAATTAAGTAGAAAAGAAGCAAAAATTAAAAAAAAGAAAAAAGAAATCGAAAACGGATCAAAATTCTGGAATAATGTTTACGTAGGTGAAGAAACAACTGACACCGGTCGTGCACGCACGTGGACAAATGATTTCCATAGTTGATTTATAGTTAATGAATGAAAATTAATTAATTAATTAATTTTATATCGAGCTTATAAAATCTGTACGTCTATAAGCCTATTTACACGTGGCGTAATTCTTCTATTTAAACAAAAGAAAATTTTAAGGGTTCAAATTAATATTAAATATAAATGAGAAACCGTTTAAATAATATTTAATATATCATATATTAAATAAAGAAAGAAACATAGAAGTAAATTTATATATTAATTTGAAGTAACCGTATAAATATATTTATTATATTTAATAAATTAAATGTTAAATCAATTTATTATGTATTAAATAAAAATATATTTGAAATTGGAACCAACTTCAAATTAATTAAATATATATTAGGATATCTTATAATATTTAAATATATTATTTTACTAATATTCTACCGACCTGTGGTTGAGCTAAGGATACACACGAATCTCTCCCACTTTCTTTGGAGAATGAAACTACATCTTTTGATAATTCTTGAAACTCTCCTTCTCCAATTCCTTTGGGATTTTGTTTCGAGAGACTCCCCCAAGTCTTGGTCTTGTATCCGAACCATAGCAAGGAAGAACGTATGGAATGCGAACAACTTCTACATGCATGGAATACTTCGAAAAGTCTTGCAAGCATCTTGCTCTCTTATTTATTGCTTTGTTTTAATTTGTAATAAAAATCAATATGGGAACGTTCCCAATGTTGCCGCTATATGGATGAAGAGTCCATTCTCTTTTAGAGGTTTTCACACCCTTATAAAGAATGTTTCGATCTCCTTCTCAACCAACGTGAGATCTCACGATCTACCTCGTTCAGGGCCCAGCGTCTTTGCTAGGCATTTGTTTCCTCCTTCAATCAATGTGGGATCTCACACTATGATTCTGTAAACTAGTCTTGGAAAGAGACTTGGGATTACGCAGGTAGATGTTAAAGTGAGTAATTCTATTACGTGTAAAAACTAGTCAAAGGTTGAGGTCGTGATTTTGCAAATTAGTTTTGAAGATGGACTTGGGACTACACAAATAGTTGACTCAAATAGGTGTAGAATCAGGCTCGAACTTCTTTGAACCCAGAGAAAAGCTCGTGGAAACCTACAAGAAATTGGCTGCTTATGGAGTATTTTTATACTCACCATTTCCCCCTTTTTTTAAGTGTTTATATGCAACGGGAAGCGTTCAAGACAGTCACAAAAGGATCGTTTTTGGTTTGTAATAAATTTGGTTTTGTATTTAATGGTAGAATTATTTGTTTAAATTTAATTTAAAATTTTACAGTATTTTCACGTTTTAATTTCTTTTATCTTTTATCTTTTGGTGATGGTCCTAATTTTGAAACTTAAAAAATTGGTCATGACATAATCAAATTATATCATGAGATTTACATTACATAATATTGACATCCTGTAATTAATATTATTATATTTCAATTGGTATGGTAGAATAATATGAGGTTCATATTATAAATATATTAGGTATAATGCTAAAATACATGCTCAATACTTATTAAATAATGATCATCTTGTTTTTGGTTGAAGGAGACGGATCCAAGAAGCGATCAGGTTGGACGGACCTAACAACCATGAAATCGTGAATCGATTTCTAACTGGTTCAAATCACAGATCACCGTGTGGGCTGACGTGAAGTTGTTATAAAAATATAGTAATGATTTTCACTATATTTAAAAAAAATACGAGGCACATAAGGTTTAATCAATGCTACGATTGTGCTCTCAAAGCCATAGAAGATAATGACTAGGTTAAATGGGTGAGAGCGTCGCAACCTCATTGAGAGAAAAGTAGGTTGTGAACCCCACACGCAAGGCAAATAAGGGGATCCTCAAGTGGAGCCCATCTAGCAACGTGAGGACTAAGATTGAGAAGTGGTATGATGCGATCGTGGAGGATGGATAGGACCCCGACCATAACCTCAGAAATCGGGGTTTCAATATGAGTTTCAACATGTGGCTCTAGAGCTAAGTTTTTCTATATGAAAGATGAAAGCTCGCCAAAGTTGATGTCAATTGGATACTCAACATATGCTCCACAGGGGCGTATGACCACTCACCAAAATGACGTCTACTCGATAAATATTAGAAATGCCTCAAAATGTAAAGGGGGAGGCATGATGTCAACTCTCCACTACCCTTGGGTCCTGTGCCCCAAGCGAGCTACTATGTGGCAAATGCGTGTATTATAGTGTGGGCGAGCATTGTGAGACGAGTGTCTTGAGTAATTTCCTTTGAAATGGGTCTTTCAAGGACACTATCCAACGGCACGGGTGTGCTGCTTGTGCTCTAACCCATGTGTCAGAGGTTGGATTATGCATCTGCTATCCAGAACGAATTTCATAAATGATGTAAGCATAGACATGAGAAGGTCCAATGCCTCGATAGAACTCGGATGAATGGATGTCTAGATGCTCCAATGAAATGAATGAAACGTGTGTCAGTTTCGATTGATATGTTCGAACAAGCTGCGATCCTGAGCTATTTGAATGATTAATCATTTTTACGGAATAAAATTGAAACTAAAAAATAGCTGTACAAACACACCTTGACGTACTTATAATTTATAGAGCAAAGAAAGGAAAAATGAGTGAGCAACAAAACATGTTGTTTCCTCAGTTTTTATCATTCTATGATATTATTCCTTGCTTGTACAGCTTATCTCCACCCTCCACGGGCAAGTAGCTTGATGCACGCTGTCTCGTGAGGTGGTCGATGCTGTTCGATGCCATCACGGTCTCTGCATTCCAATACCACGGTTGAAGATAAGGCGACGAAGATGGGTGAAGCATTATGGAGCCCCAATCTCTAAGGCCAATTGTTGTCTCCCTCAATCTCCTTCGGATCAACAACTTCCCAACGTCTTCTTTCTTCATTTCCGACACGCTTCTGAGGATCGAGACACACAGAAGGAGAGCCAACACAGCGTCCTCCTCAGGCAACAACTCGATCACCAGCAACTTCCAGTTTAGAAGAGCTGTTGCTCTTCCAGTTGGGTCCTCATCGGTATATCGAATCACCGTTACAAACCCATCTCCATCTCCATCTCCGCCTTCCTCTTCTTCCTCCTCTCTGCCATCGTCTCTCCGTACTCGATATACCATTTGGCGACCTTTTAGAAGCCTTACCTACAGCATCAAAACATATTGAAACCTGAAATCGAAAAGACTGTTTGAACAAGATACGATATGAAACGACGACCTACAGATGATTCTGAAGAAGTTGGATTTGTTAAGGAGAAGGTAAGGGCTGGTTTTGGTGTTGAAGTATCCCATTGGATTATGAGTTCATCTCCAGTTGAAAAATTCCAAGCAGCTTTCCATTCCTCTAGTGGCTGTTTTGGTGTTGCTGTTCCCACCACTTTCTCTGTTCTAGATGCCAATATATGAATCAATTATCAGAATTTAACCAAGAATCCATCTGTTTGTTCCATATCAATCAATCACTTCCTTGGGAGACTCCGAGGTTTCAAAAGTAACTATGTCGTTATCGAAGTTTGAATTTGATTGCTAATTGGTCCTTAAAGTTCGAAACTAATTTCTAATGGGTCCTTAATTCTAAAAAAGCACATGTCTGCAAAGTCTAACGTGAGCATATATTAAGTTCAAATTTCACGAACCAAAAATGAATTTTATGATAGGCTTTAATGGATACATTCCCGAATATATTTGTAACAACTCAAGCCTACCGCTAGCAAATATTGTCCACTTTGGCCCGTTACGTATCGCCGTTAGCCTCACGATTTTAAAACGCGTCTGTTAAGGAGAGGTTTTCACACCTTTATAAGGAATGTTTTGTTCCCCTCTCCAACTAACGTGGGATCTCACAATCCACCCCCCTTGGAAGCCCAGCGTCTTCGCTGGCACGCTGTCCAGTGTCTGGCTCTGATATCATTTGTAACAATTCAAGCCCACCGCTAGCAAATACTGTCCGCTTTGGCCCGTTACGTATCGCCATTAGCCTCATAGTTTTTAAACACGTCTGTTAGGGAGAGGTTTCCACACTCTTGTAAAGAATGTTTCGTTCCTCTCTCCAACTAATGTTGGATCTCACATACTTTCTTAAATGAAAAGGAAAAAAAAAATTAAAATTTGAAATAACCTTTAATCTTAGAGAGATGAGATTCAAGTACAGACACGCCATACCCGGGCATCTGCCGATGGAGCCAGCAATATAGGACCAACAACCTTCTCGAATCTCGATAATTCGGTCCTCCCATTTCACAGGCAAAGGAGTTTCACCTCCTCTCCTCCAAAATCCCGCTCCAACTCTGCATTTTACATTCACATTTGTTATGTTGAATCTCTATTTAACGAACATTAGTAAGCCTTCAGAACTCAACAAATAGTAAACGGAATGACAAATGACAATGAACTATTGATTGAATTATTACCTTAAACGAATGACAAAACACTCTCTCCCTCCATGGTCGAGTACAGTTCGAGATAGCCACCGACCTTCTTGAGGCCGGTATTGGTTCATTCTAAGAACAACATCCGAAACCATTGCCCCCGAATCATCTGTCACTTTGTCTGGCACACATTTTAACAAGTACGGTGCTTGAACGGGTGGAGTTATTGAGGCAACTATCTTGAGATTCTGATCGAATTGTCTTTCTAAAGTAAGAGACGGTGCTCTTATCAAGTCAT